GGTGGTGCAGATTGAAAAATGCTGGTGTGGGACGTGCGTGTGCCATTTTAACTCTCCCACTTCAAATTCCCGGGGGTGGGGGGAAGCGGAGCAAAGCTAAAGTCTGCAAAGGCGCCCCCGAACAAAAGGAGCGCCTGTGCGTCTCTGCGCCCCGCGCCGCTGAATTCCGCCTCCGCGTGTTGTGTGTAGGAGAGAGACCCTGTGTGTGTGTGTGTGTGTGTGTGTGTGTGTGTGTGTGTGTGTGTGTGTCGGTCTCCTGAGATCTGGGCGCCTCCACCCTCTGCCCCCCCCCTCCAGCCCTCCCTCTTTTCTCTCTCGCTTGTCTTGAGAACCAGCGGCGGCTCTCAGGAAGCGCGCCGGATGTTTGCTGCGTTTCATGTGGCATTTGTGGCCGCCTCTGATAACGCTGTCGGGAGAACCACATTCCTCCCCCCCCCCCACCCACACACACACAAACCCCACGCCACGCTTGGAAAAGCGGTTGTGTGTGTGTGTGGGGGGGGGGGAGAACCAGAAGACGGAGAAAGGCCTCGCCCTGCTCAGGGTTGTCGCCTCTCCCCGGTTCGAACCCGCCACTTGAGAAGCGGGGGACTTCGGTGTGAAAGGGCCAAGGCCGGCGGCCGCTTCGAATCGAAGGCTCTCGGAGGAGGAGGAGGAGGAGGAGGAGGAGAGGCAGCGAATCCTGCTAAGGCTGCCTTGGTGCTCGAACCGATAACTTTAGAGCAGGGGTATAGTCAACCTTGGCTCTTTTATGACTCGTGGACTTCAACTCCCAGAATTCCTGAGCCAGCTAAGCTGGCTCAGGAATTCTGGGAGTTGAAGTCCACGAGTCATAAAAGAGCCAAGGTTGACTATACCCCTGCTTTAGAGGGGTGTGTGTGTGTGTGTGTGTTGATGCACGAACTGAACCTGTGGACACGATTCCGACTCGAGTTGATAAACAATCCCACCGATCTAAATTAAACACTCCAGGCTGGCCGGGGAACTCTTTCTATAGGCAAGGCCGGTAGGCCAGGAGGTTTTAAGGGAGAGGAAAGAAGGGGGCGCGCGGTCCTTTCTTTACTTAGAGTAGACAAAGTAAAACAACATATGAAAGAACGGTTGCAGGAATTGGGCATGGCTAGTCTAGGACTAGGGGTGACACGATAGCAGTATTCCAGTATTTGAGAGGCTGCCACAAAGAGGAGGGGGTCCATTTATTTTCCAAAGCACCAGAAGGCAAGGCAAGAAACAATGGATGGAAACTAATCAAGGAGAGAAGCAACCTGGAATTAAGGCAAATTTTCCTAACAGTGAGAACAATTAACCAGTGGAACGGCTTGCCTTCAGACGTTGTGGGTGCTCCATCACTGGGGGTTAGAGTTAGGGTTAGCCACTTGTCTGAAATGGTTTAGGCGGGCCTCCTGCTTGAGCAGGGGGTTGGACTAGAAGACCTCCAAGCTCTCTCCCAGCTCTATTCTGATTGGTCGATAAGTGAAGTAAAAAGTATCGTCAAACAATATTTCGTTAGGTAGTTTTTAATCTGTGAGCGGAGGAAAAGCAAGGCAGGGCAGGGCAAAACTGATGTGGACCCACCTCGTGATCTATGCCAATTAATTATCATTGCTTACATGTGTAATAAAAACAAACCTGGGGTTGTCAATAAAGTTTTGATGCTTTTGATTTCAAATTTACATGAGACATCCAGCCTGGGATCAATGGGTTCGTCCCTGGACCAACGAGGGCGAGGTGGGGGGTTTCATAAAAATCCCAAGATGATGGCACAATCAAACCCCCCCCCCCCGAGTTTGTGTGTGTGTGTGTCGCAAGCATGGTTCACGTAAAAGAAAAAGAAGGATTTCTGTTGTACTGTTCACGGATGCCATCTTGACTTTTTTTGGACTCCCACCTCCTGCTCCCCATGGAAGTTGTTGAGATTCTCCCCAACAGATAAGTTCGCTCTCGTGCTAAATGTCTAGTTCAGGGGTAGGCAACCACGGCTCTTTTATGACTCATGGACTTCAACTCCCAGAATTCCCGAGTCAGCACAGCTGACTCGGGAATTCTGGGAGTTGAAGTCCATGAGTCATAAAAGAGCCGAGGTTGCCTACTCCTGGTCTAGTTTATTCGAGATTCAAAGCGCCGAAACGTTAGAAGCAAACGACCTCTGTGATTTTATAGGGCCGAGTCGACGGAGGGTCCTGCCAAAGACCCCGATCCTTTGCGATTACCCGGTTTAGAGTTCCTGCCAGAGTGGCAAAGCCCAACCCGTTTCTCTCGAGGTCCGAGCAACGAAATGCACACGCCGCATTTACCGGGTGTCCTATCTTGCTCCTTAGAATAAAACACAGGTGCAAAAGCTGCACAAAGGTAGCGGCTTGGCAGGCGAAAGTCGCCGGTTTCGCCATCAGGGCACGGAGGGAGGGTCAGAAGATCCTCTCTGATGCCAGGCCAGCTTGGAATAAAGTCCCTTTCCAGAAACCGGCTAATGCAAAAAATCTTTGGGATCTGGGCCGCAAATCCACTATTGGGGATCCCCAGGCGCGAGGCTCACCTGCCGTCTTCCCTCTGTGCGGTAGAAGGGGAAAGGGGGTGGGGGGTGGGGGGACAGGGAGCAATTAAATCAGCTTTCCATTTTTTGACGCAACTTTGGAAAGAAGGGTGTGTGGGGGGGTCACCCCATAACGTAACGAAAAGCCTGTGGCTTCGCTGACTTGCGAAGCCGCTAATAACCACGAAGTAAACCGGTAGTCTCCATCAGAAACGAGAAGGGGAACGTGAGAACACAAACCCTCGCGGGTAACCCGGACACAGGCCGGCCTGAATCACTTCTTCTTCTTCTTTTTTTTTTAATGGGAAGTTGTGATTTGGGGCTGATCCCTCGCAATTCGGCGCACTCGCCTGTGCCAGTCACCTTGGCGCGGTCCAGGGCCATTTCCTCCGCAGCTGTTGCGGGAGTCGTAGCTACTCAAAGGAGTAGCTACGGTGGCTCTGCTCTTCCCCGGTGGCTCTGCTCTTTCCCGTGGCAGCTGCAATGGGCTTTCTCGTGAACGGAGGGATTGTTTAAGTGTTCAGGCGGCGAAAGATTCCAAGGACGCTTCCTACTACTGACTGCCGAAGAGACAGGCAACGGGAGACTGGGGGTCCGGGGGGAGGGAGGGAGGGAGGGAGGAGGGGTAAGTCTTCGTTTTCAAAACAGTCATTTCACTTTTATGGTTTGGGGAAAAGTTGAAACTAAGGAAAAATCTAATCGTTCAGAAAACGAAGATCCTCAGCACCAATCTATTTGCGCAGGAGTGAAGCTTGAGCCGCACACACACATTACAGTGAAAATTTTGCAAAACAAGGAAAAAAATGTACAGTATAAGGCGTTTTCAGATCCAGAATTTTAGTTTATTTACTTTATCCATGGTTTCAGAGTCGTTTGAGGATTGTAGCCGATGTTCCAGCGAAACTAATCCACTTCCCACAGTAGCAAACATGAATTTGGAGTTAAGATTAGGATTACAGTTTCCTGTGGGCCACAAGGATTATAATATATATTCTATAGGAACCTAATTTATATCAAGGAAGCAGAATCAGATGCCAGCAAAAAAGAATTCTTCTGAAGCCATTTGACTAATGCTACCTGTTCCTAAGACCTCAAGTCCCAAAGTGTATTCTGATGTATTTTCATTTGTGAATAAATCACGCTGGGGGCTGCCCTATTAAATATATTTAGAATGTCAACCTTCAGTTGCTAGCTAAAATAAGGAATAGCCGAATACACTTTCCAGCAAGTGTTATGATGTAACTCGAAGTAAATTGTTCAGTAATATCATAAGGCAATTCAAACATTGTGTGCAGATAAGTAATACATGGCCATTTTATTACAGCTTTCTATCAATCTAAAAGGCGCGGCTGAAGTAGAAATCGCTTGGAAGAACATAGAATCTATATCAGTTACTTCCGGTTATTTAGAGTATTTTCACTTTTTTCAACATCAGATTTGCTATATCCGGACAAGGTTAAGTCAGTTCCAACAGCTTGTTCAGGGTATGTTAAAAGTATATGCACGTCGTAGTTATCTAAAACACCCTTTCCCTTTGTGTATTAATTGTGACAACGCATCACACCGTCTTGCTCGTTTAGACTTGCTTCAACCTAGAACGAATTTCTGTGCTGGAATAATCAGAATTAACAAAAATTAAAGGAGCAAACAGATTAAATCAAGAAGTTTACAAATGGAGTAATTATAGCGAATTAGTTTACAACAATTGACATATTTATCGTATGAGAATAATCCAAATTGTGAATATGCATACTACCGATATACAAATTATTAAAGGCGAGAGCAACATTTAATAGAAAAGAAAGCAATATTTAAAAAGTAACCAGTCCAGTCCATAAGCCAGTTCTTAAAATAGTATTGCTTATATGGTATTTGTTAGAACATATCCTGTCTAGGAAACGCGGTCCAACAGACAGGAAACGGTCGAAAGAGGTCGAAAGTGCTTAATCTTCCCTCCCTGCACGTAGAAGCAAACTACCTCAAGACAAACAAACAAACAAACAAACATATTTTCACGGATAAACTTTTCATTTTCCCCTTTCTTTTGTCAGCTCTAATAAGTCATTTTCGAGTCTCTTACTTACTTGAAAGTAGATCCCATTGATCTCAATGGAATTTACTTCCACGTAGACTCAGGTCATGGAAAAATCCACTCCTCGCTCGACGAAAAAGGCCGTTTCTGGCTCTATCCCATACAGGTGAATTGCAGATAAAACTGGTCCCCTCCTCGCCCGGCTCAGACTCTCTGGCCACACCCTCGCCGCCCGATTGGCTACCGCTCAGTTTAAACGGAGCCGCGCGGTGACAGCCGCCAGCTTACTCGAGGGCTGTCGGAGCTCTGGGCTCGCATCAGAGGCGCTTCCAAGCTTTATTGGCAGCGAACGGCGAGGCGCAAGCGCTGCTAACCCGCTCGCCCTGCTCGCCTTCTGGAGGCACCGAGAAGGGGCCAGACGCTGGCCGGGCAGTGGAAATGAGCAGCCCCGATGCTGGATACGCCAGTAGCGACGACCAGGCGCCAGGACGGTCCTCCCTCCCTCCCCTCATGATGCAGTGTCAGTGGGCAGAGTCGCTGAGCCCCTTAACCGACGGCAAAGGCGAAGCGGCGGCCGACCAAGTACAGCAGGGAGCCTCGGGCCGGGCCAAAGGGGAGGCTCGCATTCGCCGCCCCATGAACGCTTTCATGGTCTGGGCCAAGGACGAACGCAAGCGGCTGGCCCAGCAGAACCCGGATCTGCACAACGCGGAGCTTAGCAAGATGCTGGGTAAGTACCCAACAGGCGTCGGCGGAGCGGGAGATCGCTGGAAGAGGAGGCTTAGCGATCTTGCGCGGCGTTACTTTTCTGCGCGCCGTCCAAGGGCCGCCACGTCGCGGAATAACCCGCGTTGCCTTCGGAAATGAGACTGCGGGCACTTTGTAAAGGAACCGAAGCAGCAGGCTCGGGACCCAGTAGACTCGCTTTTGCGATTTTTACAGAGCGTTGCGCAATCCGACGCTAGTCCAGGCAGGGGACCCGAATCCCCTGAATCGACGACGGTTCCTCCGGCAGGTTTATAGGCAACACTTAAGTCTTCTGGAAATTGGCTTGCTCTCCCAACAGGCGGGCAAAATCCTTGCCAGCCTTCTCGTACTCCGCTAAAGATACAAGATTCATTGCCCCGCAACTGAGGAACTGGAACGGGGCGAAGGAAAGAAACCTAAGTAGTCCAGCTGCACCCGGCCACTGCTGGTCGCCGCTCTTGCGGTGGCGCAATGACAATCGGGCGATTCCCAGAAAACGGGCTGAAGTTACTGCCCCGAACTGAAACATAGTTCAGGAAAGTTTCAATAAATAATTGCGCTGGCTTTTCTTTGGTGTACCCCTCTTCTTTGGGTTTTCGCCTACTTTTCACGCAGTGCGGGCGCAGCAGGGCGGGATCGAGAGGAGACCTACTTCTACACGAAAGCGGCACGAGGCGCGATCGCTTCCTTGGTAGAGAAGGCCAGAGCGTTAACCACCAGTTAGCAAGCCGTGCCATAACCACCTACTTCCCTGAAGAAAAGTTGGGTCTGGGTGGGAAAAGCGACTCCCCGCCAAAAACAGTGAACCAGATTCTCCCCCCTTCCCCCCCGGAGCCCCAGCCCCAGCTTGGCCATCAGCTTCCGCTCCCTCGACTAATTCCGATTTCTCCTTTCCCTTGACAGGGCAGTCGTGGCGGGCGCTGACCCAGGAGGAGAAGCGCCCCTTCGTAGAGGAGGCGGAGCGGCTGCGGCTGCAGCACATGCGGGACCACCCCCACTACAAGTATCGGCCGCGGCGGAGGAAGCAAGTCAAGCGCCTGAAGCGCAACGACGGCGCAGTGGACGGTGGGAGCGGCTTCCTCCCCGTTCAGCATCACCAGCTGGGCCTAGCCGGAGAGGCGGGAAACGGAGGCAGCTGCGAGGCGCTCGGCCTTTCTTACGCAGAGCAGCCCAGTTACGCCGGCGGGAGCTTCCATTACCGGGACTGCGCGCCGCTCCCGCTGCCGGCCTTGGGCACCCATTTTGGAAACTACAGCCTGCCTACGCCGGAGCCCGAATCCCAGGGGGGCGCCTGCGCAGAGCCTGTCTTTTTCCCGCCGCCCCACCCGGAGGACGGCGGCTGCCTGCTGGGCCCCTACGGCTACCCGACGCCGCCTGGCTCCGAGTATCCCTGCAACGGCGTCCCTGCCAGCGGCCACGGCAATAACGGCGGTAGTCCCAGTGTGGGCATCGGCCTTTTCCGTAGTCGCTTCCCGGTGCCTTTGGCCTCCTACCCTTCCTCGCCCGCCCCGGACCACGCGCAGCAACAACAACCCCGTCGCCGAGGGGAGGCCGCCGCCGGGCTCGAGCAGCTGCCCCCTCACGACGTGGACTTGCTGGCGGATGTGGATCGCGCCGAGTTTGAGCAGTACCTGCCCTTCGCCTGCCGCCCGGGCGACCTGGGGCTCCCCTACGCGAGCCACGAAGGCCCGGAGGCTAACGCCGCTGCCTATTACTGCGCGGCCGCGGGCGGGGCCGGAACGTATCCCGAGTTGTGAGTCCAGCGTCCCCAGGCGGGTGAGGGCGGGGCAGGTGGACCCTGCTAATATTATTTATTGTAATTTATTGACTGCGCATCTCTAAGGGCCATTAGAGAAGGAGCTCCCGTGTTTCTGAAAATCGGCGCGTCCAGAGGCCGCGAGGTTTTTTTCTTGCAGGAGGCTCACTTGGCGGGAGTTAACAGGCACCTGCCTTTTTTTTTTCTTCAGGTTTTGTACAGAATGGGGTGGGCTTGGACTAAAGCACCCGATTAAAGGTTGACTTGGAACAGCTTGGCAATAAAAACGAAACACAAAACAAAACAAAAAAAACCAACCCAACCATCCTTCAGGCGGTTTTATACCAAGGTGTGGTGGAGTTGTCGTTCTTCAGAGACTTGTGTTACCTGAGAAAATAACATGCCATGAATTAGTTCAATAACTCCCCGCTAACTTTGCACACGAAACTCTACAATCTCGCTTTGCACATCCTAATACCACATTCTCATAAAATCCAAATCGATCGCAGGGGGTCTTAATGTGGCTGGGTAATCTTGAAACTAGAGTTCCCACAGCTGGGCTCCTGGAATGGCTTTCCCATAAAGGAGACCCCACAACATCTGCCCTATTTTCCCTGCGCCAGTCTGCTTGGGAGGCCCAATTACATGGGCAGGGGCAGGAGGTAGATTCCATCATATTCGAGTGTGAAGTGAGACCTGAGAACTGCGTAGCAATTCTCGAGGTAATAGTTTTCAACCCTTTGGCCTCATTTCTCTTACCCTGAAAGCATTCAGTAAATGCAGTAAATACTGAAAGGATCCCAAAGATAATCAGATGAGAAAACATGAATGCTTTTGCCTGGCTTAAGTCCAGTGTTTGAACGTGCTTCATTCCAGTAAGTGTCACCTACTGATAGTAGGTGTTGGGAAAGTTAGTTTAAATAAAGTCAGTCGCCTTCCCTCACGATCCAATTCCTAGGATAGTCTTTGAAGGTTCATAGCCTGCCAAAGTATTTTTAGCATTAGAAGGTATGTTTTAAATCTGATGTGAGTTTAATGCCTACTAGTATTAATTTGAACAAATTAAAGGAACACAATTTGATATTTCTCAGTTCTATTCCAAGAAATAGAATTTGTATACCTTGCTCCCTTCAAAAAGTCTTCGACTTCAGTATCTAAGGAGAATTCCCTGTGAAATGAACAATCTTTGCTTCAGTGTATCTGAGATCACAATCCTGAGCCATTTAGGGTTGCAGTAAATGGGTGCAAGTTGGAGCATCTGACCACTGTACTGCTGCTTGGCTCTCACCTTAATAAGCTAAACTGTTCACAATATCAATTTAGGATTACCAGATCCAAGGGCCAGCAAAAATTGGGATAGCAACAAAGAGAAAACCTGGTGTCTGAAGTTTTGCAGCCCTAATCAGGTAATGAATTGATGCAAAAAAAAAGTGTGTGCCAAATATTTAACTAAAAAGATTATCACAAGAAAGAAACATGTAGAAAATCTTGCTGCCCTCTTAGGTAGGGCATTACCTCCTAGAGCAGTGTTTCTCAACCTTGACAATTTTAAGGCATGTGGGTTGAGAAACACTGTCCTAGAGTATGGTCAACTGAACCAACCGAAACTGCTCTTGAGAATTTGCTAAGACAGTATTCTTCAGAAGAAAACAAAAGCAAATCGAGCCATCCTAAATTGATAGCAGTCATAAAAACTGGACCATGTGTCAGAGGAAGGGACAGGCAGGAGCCTTTTCAATTGACATCCTCTTATTTTGTACCAGTTGGCAGCATCACTACAGTACATACTTGCTATTAAAAGTACTGAATTAATTTTTCAGATTTTGGCCTATATCTGTATCCCTTTGTAAAAGAGTACAAACATGTTGATGCATTTTTTCCTTTCCTTCCTTTTAAAGTAGAAAACAAAGACAGGTAGAATGTGTTGTGATGGATATGGGTTAGAGTCCCCCTTGCAGCAAACAAATCGTGGTAATACAATCCCTCAAAAAAGCTAGACTGAGATTATACAATATTTGTGTAGTAAACTTGTGGATATGCAGATAAGTGATTTCCCGTCTCTTTGCCTGTAACCTGGGTATGAAGACTTACTCAGGATTATGTTCCATTGATCAGGATTTAAATTTTGTAATAAACATGATTAACTTTTTCAATTCTAAGTGTCTTGTCTTTTATTTTAGTATTGGAAAAAATTCTATTTTAATCAATCCCATTTTATGCCTGTTTCCCCCGAAGAGTTCTGGAGGATATGATATTCCATCTCAAATTCCCTCTCCCTCTCCCTCTTCTCTCTCTCATCCCCGTTCCCCTCTCCCTCTCATCCTCCTTCCCTCCCTCCCTCCTTCCTTCCCTTTCCCTCTCTGAATTTGAATCCTGATCTTTTGGATTTAAATTGAGGAATTACTCCCTAAATTAAGAATTGCCATTTCCCTAAAAGTCTTCCTTTGTAGCTTTATATGATACTTTGATTTCAAGGCTTTAATACTACAGCATGAAAAGTTAAATTGCAGTTGGTTGGATTCAAATATTACATTAAGCAAAAAATTAAAATACCCCCAAACAAATCACTCTAGGGCTTAATATCCTAGAAAATATTGTTTGATTAGGCTGTACTGGATACAACAGTCTTATTGTATATGGAAATAAAACTTTTTGGGGAATCACATATTCAACAGAGTCCAGACATGCTTCCAATTAAAGAAAAGTATCTTTATTAACTAGCAGTTTTTAAAGTTTTCATCTTTACTATAGCAATGTAACAACTTGATATGACAATAACTTAATGACAGTAAAATAAAGTATTGTCTTCATTGGACTGTTTGTAAGTGGGCAGCAGGAGAAAGTTTCGAGAACATGAATTAGCCAGTGAATATACCAGAGGCCCCCCACCTTTTGGGCACCAGGGACCGGTTTCGTGGAGAGAGGTTTTTCCGCGGACCGGAGGGCACGTGGTTTGTGTGCTGCCTGCATCCCACGAATGGGGCTTTGCTTGTTTGTGCGGACCGGTTGTTGGCATGCCACAGACCGGTACTGGTCCACGGACCGGGGGTTGGGGACCCCTGGAATATACAATACTGACTTCTGAAATATACATCTGTTCCCAAGGAATCTGTTAATAGCTAATTTGAGCTGGTCACTTTCACCCAGACTTCTGGAAAAGGTGAAAGTGCCATAAAATTTACACACCATGGCTTGTGTTGGATTAAGGAGGAAAAGCTAGTTTTTTTTCCAGAAGAAGCAAGACCATCATAAGTCTGCTTTAAATAGGGAACAAAGCAAATGCCAGTCAAGGGGGAATATATGGGGATGATGTAAACTGTAAATGCATGCATTTGAACGGAATCATACTGGCTGTGTTTTACCTGTCACTCAGTTCTGTGTTTATTTAATGGGAAAAAAATCCCGGTTAAGGTCAATGTACTGGGAAGGCCTGCTGTGTAATACAATTGGGGTGCATGCTTCCTCAGCAGTAGATCCACAGTATCTGAGGCCTGTCCGAGAGAAGACTGGATAAGATGCAGCCATATTACCTGCATCCTATTACCTTCTGTCACAACAGTTTTTTTTTCAAAGAAAGATTCTTATCCAGTCCATGGTAAGAATTGCAAGGTAGGACTAGACTAAAACAAGACTAAACCTAAATGTTCAGCCATAGAAGCAGAATTTCTCTAAATCAGTCCACAGTTTTATTTACCAGACATATGAATTCTCTATATCTCAACCCAATTTAAATCACTTAAATTCCAACTTTCTTAAGCACTCATGGATCTTCTTTAAGGTTACTAGATCTGGACTCCAAAATCCAGATGCCCACTAGAATGGCAGGAAAGCAGTACAGAAAATGCTTTGCTGCATCTGCTCATCATCCAGGGGTTTGCAGTTCTGGTCTTACTATATCCCAGGCATCTGTTTCATTTTCGGTGAATGCACGCTCTTTGAGAAGAGCATAAAACACGCTTGGTGATAATCTTAGCCTGTTGGTAGATCTCTCACGCAGATAGATAAATTGGCCGTGGTATCATACGTATTGAAATCATTTTGACCATTAGAATTAACATTCATCTATCTGGTTTTTGCTTGTTGAATAGATTGAAACAGAAGTAGGCAACTTGTGCATTTCAAATATTTTGGACTATATCTCCTAACTATTAGACATGCTCTCAAGCCTTATGGAAGTTGTAGTCTAAACCAGTTAGAAGATATCCAGTTGCCTGCCATTCTTTAAAGAAGGGCCATAAAATTTGAAATGCAACAGACAAAACACTCTGAAATGGTCACAGAACATTTCGGGGTAATGGAGGGCTCATGATTCCAACTGGCCTGCTTGCCAAGTTGGTGCCACTGAGTATGCTTAATTCTTATTCATGTCTTACATAGGTACCAAACTCTTGTGTGAGAATGGTATCCGTTTGCTACATAATCAAATGATTTTGAGGAATTAAGATGGAGACCCTACCACAAAGTGATATATTCCTGACCTTAGTGATCAAAACTCTTCCTCCTCAAAATGGAGACTGCCCCAAATAAGTTATCAGGGAGGTACTAGCTGTCAAACTCTTTTATCCCTTTTGTTCCTTCATTTCCATTCTATTGAGTAGAAAGAACTAGGGAATAAATAACCCACAAATAACCTGACTCCATGCTACAGGTGAATTCTGGTGGGAACAGAATTGTAACATGAGTATACCCAGTGCTTTTTTTGAAAGAAAAAAAAAAGGTGCCGGAACTCACACACGTTATACAACCCGCCTTGCCTACCCTACAAGGTTCCATCCAAAAAAGGTGCCGGAACTCCGTTCTGGACGTTCTATGACAAAAAAAGCCCTGAGTATACTGAGGTGTGTTCATGACTGCCCACAATGCTGCATTCTGGACCCAGTTGCATCTTTCAGATAGTGAGGGCAGTCTCAAGTGGAGTGTAATACAGTAATCCTCTTGGGATGACAAAGGTTTGAGTGATATGAGCAGTGCCTCATGGTCTAGAAAAGGATTAGGGAAATG